ATTATTATGGACGTTTTTTTCTCGGAAGTCCTGGACTACACAGAAGTCCATTGTGAATCCAGCATGAAATGCACGCCATCCCAGCCACCAGCTGCCAATTGTTGACTGCAATCAAACAAGTATTTAAGAAGAACTCTATGAACTCTAGAGTTCTAGAAGAACTCTTCCTCCCTGAGGAAGTCCAAATAGGACGAAACGCGTGGGACTTTTAATTTATTTTCTTTATGTGTTTTTTATTGTATTTGTCATTCTTCATATTCTTCTCTGGAGCTTCTTGCGGTCTGCTGAAGTCCGGAAACCACACTGGTTATGGAGATATGCTGATTGTCATTTGACATCTTGTAAGTGCAATAGTGTTAAATAAATTAGCTATTTTTATACCACCTGCATTATTTTTTTTCTATATTTTTCCATTTTGACTACTCTTTGAAAATCGCTTCCATTAATTTTCTCACCCCATTTGAGTGGGAGATATGCCTGATTTTTCATCAGTTCAGTGAGTTCTCTACCACCCCACCCATACCCCTACCCCTGTGCTGATTATACTGCACTATATTTTTATTTCTTCCTTAGATACATATTGATATATTGCCTTTATCATTTATATACAGGGTGTATATATTTATTGTTCACTTTTTGTATATATTTATTATTGACACGTTTTTTCCCTTTTGGTTTTATTTTGGTTACTAATGCAATTTTCTGTTGCCCTCAATAGTGCAACTTTTAAATAATGCCATTTCTCCAGGACTCCATTTAAACTTCTCCAGTCTGACTATGACTCCTTTACAGATATTCTAATTTTAGGAAGTCTGTTTTTCTAAAATCTAAAACTTGTGTTTTTGTGTGGAGTGACTCAGTCACTGTTCTTATATTATGTTTTTAAGTTTGGGAGAATGTTGCAGACTTCAATTATCCTGGAAATACTTCCGTCAGGGTGCTTCAAACAAGGTGGACCAATGTTGCATGCAAACAGGGCCGGTGCAAGGATTTTTGCCGCCTTAGGCAAAAAAAAATTTGTCGCCCCATATATGTTCTGCCCATCATGTGACATCACAATGCCACACCTACATGATCTGCCATATGGGCCAACGCCAGTTCTGCACACAGTGTCTTTTATTTGAAAAAGCAATGTGTTTATATTAAAAAGCCTGCCTTTGACAGGCTATAGACACCAGAACCACTACATTAAGTTGTAGTGGTTCTGGTGACTATAGTGACCCTTTAATGTGAGGTAAATCAGAGATTAGTGCCACTAATAATATATTGGATTGCCTACTTACCACCAGATGAGGACAAGAGGATGATGATGGGCTCAGGCTGCAGTCTGGCTCCACAAGTCTGGTGTAGAAGAGGCTCTCTGGATACTGTTTGTAACAGTGCTCGCAACAATTAACGAACAGGAAGCAGCTCCATTTTTTGGGCCCCTTACACAGCTCAAGGTCTGGGCCCCCAGGGCCTGACCGTGAGTATGCATACAAGGCCTGCCCATAAGTCCACTTACATGGCCCACATATGAGTTAGCTCACAGGGAGTGGAGTGCATATGTATAGGGGATGTGTTATTGTAGAGGATGTAATGTGTGTGTGTTCTTATAGAATGTAGTGTAGGGATACCAATTTGTGTAAGGGATGTAGTGTGTGTATAGGGGATGCAGTGTGTGTTTGTGTGTAAGGGATGCATTGTTTTAATCTGTGTTTGTATGTGTAAGGAATGCAAGCTGTGTTTCTGTGTATGTAATGTAATGCAGTGTGTATGTAAGGGGTGCATTCAGTGTGTGTAAGAGATGCATTTTGTTAATATGTGTGTGTAAGAGAAGCAGTGTGTGTGTGTATAAGGGATGCATTGTGTGTTTCTGTGTGTCTGTGTGTGAGTAGGGGTGCATTGTATGTTTCTGTGTGTGTGTAGGAATGCATTGAGTGTTTCTGTGTATGTGTAACTAGCATTGTGTATGTGTGTAGTGTGAAAGAGAGATTTGTGGGGTATGATAGAGGATGAGAGGGAAGCATTTCGTTATTGTCCCTTGGTGCTCTGCCCTCCCCTCCTGTCCTTTAGTGCTTTCTCTTTCCCTTAGTGATATCCCCTCCACTCCAGTCCATTAGTGCTCTCCCCACCTGTCCTTCAGAGCTTCCCTGTCCTGTCCCTTAGTGCTCTCCCTTACCCCCCTGTCCCTTAGTGATATCCCCTCCAGTACATTAGTGCTCTCCACACCCATCACTCATAGCTTCCCCCTCCTGTCCCTTAGTTATCTCCCCTGTTCCTTAGTGATCTCCCATTCCCCTCTCTCCTACCCTCCCCTCCCTTAGAGATGTCCCCTCCGCCCTTGGAGCTTAGAGATTGGCTGTTTGTGTGCCCGTTCCCCTCCTCCCCCCAGAACTGACTCTCCTTTTGTGAGGGTGTTATCTTTATTATATTTTCACTATTTATTAACAGTTACACTATGCATTTTTTTGAATTAATGTCACCAGTTTAAAAAAGATCTCTTTCACGAGATGCTGCACCATACGCATTAAGTATTTGTTCTAGAGAGAGGTTTGGGACTCATGGGCCACCACTCATTCTAAATCAGCATTAGCTACCCTAAGAGCTGAGCTGTGCATGGGTTCCGAGGAGCTTAGGAGTGTATAATATATTGTTGTTTTTGTTTCCTATTTCCGGCATTAACTCCTCCCCCACACCTTGCCTCATTTGCAGCCTTAATATGAACAATGACAGCAATGTCTATTACTCAGGATACACCTTCTAAAATGTGAACAGATGTACAGAGATCCTAAATCTGTATTGTAAGCTTAAAAACCTTAATAAAATGTAATTTTGGGGGGGAGAAGCACAAATTGGGAACCTTTCAATTTTCTTAAAGAAGAAAAAGTAAACACATATATATAGATACACTCTAATTAATTTAGCTAATATATATATAATTTTTTTAACTTTTTTTTTTTAATTAGAGGGTTCCTTTTAGAGGGTCTCTCAAAATGTCACTGCAACTTTCTGCTGTTATAATTGCAGATTATTAGCTAAATATAAACCCAATTTCGAAAAAAAATTAGCAGACTTACTCATTTTGTTGTATCGTAACATAACAAACCATTTCCAAACAGACACATTTGTTTATTCTAACAGTATGAACAAGGAGTGGTCATTGGTTTTCAGTGACTGTCCCATTCTTCTGATTCAATATTGTTTTGCAACCCATAAAATTATAAACTTGGTTACCAGATTTCTTTCAATCATTATTTTGGCTATTTGTATACATAGACATAAGTTGATCCACTGGAATCTTGTCGCCGTGTTTTTCGCAGCAAATCCAAATCAACCTGCAACACACTAAGGCCATTACAAGTATTACTGTAAAGCCTATTGCCAACCACTTGCCGATGCTTTCTTTAGCTTGAGGCCCCAATAAACGATTTTCGCGACTCAAAGGCTCTTGTTGCTCTGTTAGATTCTCTTTCTTCTTCTGAACCTGCCCAACACCTGAACTATTTTTATCAGGGAGCTGCATTGCTGAGACCTTACTCACTAAAACTAGACTGAGTATAGTAAGCACTGTGAGAGCTCTCATTTTCACTTGCAGGAAAGAAGCTGAATACTAGTGGCAGCCTGCACATTGCAAACTGACCTTTCCAGATGTTTGTGACATCAGGAGCCATGATGACATCACAGTGACTAAACTGGGCCATAGCTGGAAGGTTTTCATCTGGGTCCAAGCTGAGTATTTATAATATGGAAATATTTTATTTAAAGGACTTACTTTAGTGCTAATAGTGATATTACAATTACTTTATGTTATCATGCAATAAACATATAAAACAAAAACAAAAAATTATGAAGAATGTAAATGCCACATTTTAAAAATTATTTAGGGGGTCACAAATATATAGCAATATTATCACCAAATGCTGATCCCAAAAATGTAAAAAATAAACAAATAAAAACAATAATCTCCCACTGAATTTATTTTTACATTGATATAACTACCTAAGACCCAAGGCAATCAAGGCCGGATTAACATAGGGGCTGATGGAGCTGCAGTTCCAGGCCCAGGCCCAGGCCCATGGAATAGGCCCATTTAAAAAAAAAAAAAACACTTTTTTTTTTTTTACACACTACTCTTAGGTTTGCCACCTGACTGGTATTTTAAGGCACAGCCAGTATTCGAGGCTGCCTGGCCGTGATGGTATTGCAGTAATACCGGCAATACAAATGCAAATATTTTTTTCAGTATAAACAGAGATTACTCTGCAATACCAGCACCGGTCAGCAGGGGTCACTGTGTGTGGAGAGAGGCAGGGATAGGAAGTTACAGCATATTCCTCCCTGCCTTTCTCTACACATACACAGGGGAGCAGCTACACAGCACAGAGAGTTCAGACAGCAGCTCCCAGCCCGCAGAGACAGACTACAGCTCAGGGAAGTGAGGGATAAGGGGAAAGGCAGCAGGGAGACATGGGGACACTGAGACACTAGGGGACCCACAGGGACACTGAGACACTGGGAGACGTGGGGACACTGAGACACTTGGGGACACTGGGAAACATGGGGACACAGAGACACATGGGGATGCTGTGAGACATAGGTAGACACATTGGGACACGGAGACACTACCATTGTCCCCATGTCTCCCAGTTTCCCCTAGTCTCCCAGTTTCCCCAACTGTCTGTGTCCCCATGTCTCCCAGCCAGTGTCTGTTTCCCCATGTCTCCAAGCCAGTGTCCCTAGTGTCTGTGTCCCCATGTCTCCCAGTGTCTGTGTCCATAGTGTCCCCATGTCTCCCAGTGTCCCCAAATGTCTCAGTGTCCCCATGTCTCCCAGTGTACCCATGTCTATGTCCACAAGTGCCCCATGTCTCCCAGTGTACCCATGTCTATGTCCACAAGTGCCCCATGTCTCCCAGTGTCCCCATGCCTCCTAGCCAGTGTCCCCAGGGTCTCGGTGTCCCTATGTCTCCCAGTGTCCCCTAGTCTCCTACTGTCCCCTAGTCTCCCAGACACTAGGGACACAGAGACATAGGGTCACAGACACTGGGAGACATGGGGACACAGACATGTGGGGAAACTAAGACACTAGGGACACTGAGAGATATGGGAACACAGACGTGTTCCCATATCTCTCAGTGTCCCTAGTGTCTTAGTTTCCCCACATGTCTGTGTCCCCATGTCTCCCAGTGTCTGTGACCCTATGTCTCTGTGTCCCTAGTGTCTGTGACCCCATGTCTCCCAGTGTCCCCAAATGTCTGTGTCCCCATGTCTGTATCCACAAGTGCCCCCATGTCTCCCAGTGTCCCCAAGTGTCTCTGTGCCCCCATGTCTCCCAGTGTCCCCATGTCGCTCAGTGTCCCCATGTCGCTCAGTGTCCCCTAGTATCCTAGTAACACGGGACACACTGAGACATGGGGACACATGAGATATGGGGACACAGACACTGGGAGACTAGGGGACTGGCCTTCCAAATCTTTGGACACACATACCCCCTTTTTGGGCATGTTCATCCATTTTGGCACTTCTGGTTAACCCGCCCATTGACTTCCTGCTTCACTGGACCGTGCTGTTAGGGGGTATGGATTTACTTGAAAGATGAAAGCATAAATTAGATAAATACATTAGCATAGAGTATGTGTTTTCTTATAGCTGCATCCTTTGAGTTTCCCTCCAGCACCAACTCCATCAGATACATGACGCTTGAGAGGTATGACTGTTTTAGTGTTTTTGGTCGATAAGATTCTGTAATTAGGCCCCATCATAATTGTCAGCACCAGGCCCACTGGGCTCTTAATCTGGCCCTGAAGGCAATTGTGTGCATTTTGATTTATCTAACTTCCAGTCTTACAGGGTTATTTACCAAAATGAGAAGTCAAAATTAATTTAAAGGGACACTCCACTGGTTTAATTATGCATTTTTTATTGGGGGTATATCTAACAGCATGCAAAAGTTGCAGATCTTTTTTTTGCAGTTTTTGCAAGTATGAATTTGCAATGGTGTAAAAAATATGTTTTTCACTTTGTCTTTACGAAGCACTACATTTTGTCGGTATGGAGCAGTGAGCTTATCACATCGTACACAAAAAGATTTGAGGCTGTAATTGCTTCCAAAAATGCTTCACATAAGTACCGAGTTAAGGGCCTGAATACCTATGTCCATGAGATATATAATTTTTTTTGTGTTTAACAAATTTGAAGTAGTGTAAAAAAATCTGTTTTTTTCTCTGTCATTATGAGGTATTGAGTGTAAATTTCTGTGTATTGTGACGAGGTTTGATATATCGTTTCCACTAACACATGTCTGTACAGCTCTTCTGTCGGCCTGCTGTTTGTATACCTATTCTGCAAAAACTTTGTTTCACACTGAATGAAGGCCAAATTGTGACAATATATGTAAATCATATATTACATTTATTTTTTATTACATTAGCATTTCCATCAATGCACTGACTCTCGCAGGGGTGAGCAAGCATGCAGCCACTCTCCCTGCTAAAGCTTGGACCTCTTCTGTATGTCCTTTGGTAACATAACATTATGATGTCAGTTGCAGGGAAAGACGAAATTCTGGGAGTCAAGCCCAAAAATAACTAAGAGGTCAGCAATGAGTGCTATTCTTAGTATCGAAAATATCAAAAATTAGGACAAATTACTCACATTCAGGAAGCAACCATGTTATTGAAATAATATTCGGTAGTGGATTGACCAGCAAGGAGGCAGATTGCAGAGACAAAAGTACACGTAAAAAGGGAAATAATGTATTACAACCTGTGCTGGAAAGAGATACTCCAACAACCCCAAACATAGGTGTCCCGAGAAGTGGGAGGGGCGGGCAGGGCCAGAGACTAAACTGTATCATAGGCTCTGTTTAAAGGGGTGGACCTGTCCAGAAAACAGGTGGAGCTGTCCAAATTACTGGCAGGTCAGCATGGCATGCCAAGCTTCCAGACAATCAAGCAGGCCCCTCCACAGAGAGCAGATCAGGAGACCGCACTGTTTCAGTGCTCTCTGCAAGGTTCCAGTGCCCTCAGTGCAGCACAAGTCTAATCATGTGCTTACACTGTGCTTTTTGGAGATAATTCCGTGGTGTCCCTAAGGATGAGACGGTGAGACAAGACCCGCAGATAGGGACTTCTGAGAGGCATGTTCTAGTATATACCAAGGTCAGGTTTAATTAAAAAAAAACTCAGAAAATTGCATTTTTAACAATATGGAGGGTAGAGGGTGATAATTTCCATAATTTCACTTAGCCATCGAGTACTTGATAGTAACATTGCATCCTGTTCGTAGGTGTAAAAATTCATATGAATTTTGAAAGCTACCTAAAATGAACTGTCAACCCCCCCCAAAACACCTAAATTATATAAAAAGAAATAGTGAAGAAATAAAATGTGTTCTTTTCTTATACATTGTTTTTCTTATATTTTACATTTTTCCATGCCTAGTTAGTTTTTCTGTAAGATTGTGAGTCCTAAACCAACACAACAAAAAAGACAAAAACAATTGTTATTAAGGGACGAACGAAAGTTATTGCTGAACACAGTTTTGACCGACTGGCCAGCCCTTTGAGTTTAAAGGATCACTATAATGTCAGGAAAACAAACTTGTTTTCCTGACACTATAGCATCCTTGGGGGACCCTCACTCTCAGGGTCCCCCTCCTGCTGGGCTGAAGGGGTTAGAACCCCTTTAGCCACTTACCTTAATCCAGCACAAGGCTCCCTCGGCGCTGGTGACCTCTCCTCCCCCACCGACGTCAACTCCCGAGTGTAGCGGAATGCTCATGTGCGAATTTCGCATCCAACGGCGCAGAAGCTTCTTCCTGACAGCCTCTAGAGGTTGGATTAACCCTGCTATGTAAACATAGCAGTTTCTCTGAAACTGCTATGTTTACATGTGAAGGGTTAAAACCTGAGGGACATTGCACCCAGACCACTTCATTGAGCTGAAGCGGTCTGGGTGACTATAGTGTCCCTTTAAAAAAAATTTGAAATAAAATACATACTCAACTAATTTCCTGTCGTGGACTCATCCACTACAGCCACTTGCTCTGCCTTAAAAGATATCAGCATGCATGCTGACAACTTTGCAATATCTTCTCATAAATAAGCAATTGATGGATGCATACACGCACGGCCATACCTTGAAATACTCCTGTAGCGGAGCCCTTGCCCTGACAGGAACTTTCCTCCGCTTTATCACCAAGAGTAGAATCATGAACAAAAAAATACAAAGTAAATAGCCCATCTCCTCCCCAGCAACTGGACACACAGTTCTGGGAGTACAACTGACTTTATTTCTGCCACACACGGCTTTTATGCATTGCCCCTAGCATGGGGTTTCCAAGTCAAGAATACAAGGTTTTCTTTCCCAAGAGCCTCTGTGTTTGAGAAATAATTGAGCTCAAATTAGTATAACTCAATTATCTCTCAAATACAGAAACTTACAGATATTTTTAATATACCCCCAAATTACATGAAAACAGTACAGAAACTCCACAAGAATCATATTCCCGAATAGCCCCAATCTGAGCGCACAACATATCCAAAAAGTGCTCAGATCAGTTTGGTAGAACGAAAGTTTTCTTTGAACACAGTTTTGACCGACCAGCCACGAGGTGATAGCCAAAAACAATTCCAAAAAATTGGACAGGGTGGCCGGTTGGCTTTAGGGGTTCCTGTGCGAACACGATGAAAGCTCACCCTGGCTGTTATAGAGCGAATGCTCCCCCTGTTTCTTTAGATCCTATCTCTCGGACGCCGTTCATCTAGTTGGTCAGGAAATGGAATGGGCAGAGGTACCATCTTTGCCCAAGTTCGCAGAGACGCGAGGCCGAAAACAGTTCCAGGCATTCAATGACCAAGTACCGCTGCCTGAATTCGGGAGAAAAAATGGCCTCCATGTACTGGACCACGTGCGTTTGGTTCTAAGAATGGTGGCCACCCAAGGAAAGCACTCAAGCGAAGGTGTTAAGTTGTTAATTTGTGATTAAGAGCCAGGGGAGGCCGGTGTTCACTGGGGCATAACAAGGGACCACACACAAGTCTTTCAGGAGATGAACAAGGAGGTATGAACAAACACAAGGGAATGGAGTCTACAACTCCCAGACAGAGTTTTACTCGATATAGATGAGCAAGTACCTCCTCAGGAAGACAACCACTAGTGGTGGATTTAAAGTGACATTATTTTCACCAGAACAACTACAGCTTATTTCAGGGCTCGACAAATCCCAGGCACCAGGTCGCCATGGCGACTAGAAAGCGGCAAGGGGCCTGGGATTTGTCAGCTTTGAAAGCTGGGAATATTGGAGCTGGCTGCCGTGGGGAGCATGGAGGCTGGAGACAGCAGGCTGAGGCAGCATGAAGCCGTCCGCTTGTCCGCGGGAGCATTATAGGTGGCACGCTAGGGAGTAGTACTCTGCCTGCAGCTCCTCTCTGCTCCATCACGCTATGAAATGATGCCAGGAGCCGAAATATGATGTCACTCCGGCCCGGTATCATTACAGTGAGCGTGAGCGAGCAGAGAGGAGCTGCAGGCAGAGTACTGCTCCTTCGCACGCAGGAAGATAGCCCCACTGGACCCCGGGGGAAGACCCACTCAGCTCTCCCAAAGGTAGGGAGGTTGACTGGGGTTCAATTGAAACAAAAATGTAAGTGTGTGAGCATGTCAGACTGTGTGTGTGAGCATGTCAGACTGTGTGTGAGCCTGTCAGAGTGTGTGTGTGTGTGTGTGTGTGTGGGTCTGTCTGTCAGTGTGAGTGTGTGTGAGCCTCTCAGTGTGAGTGTGTGTGTCTGTCAGAGTGTAACCGCGGCTGGTTCACTTATTTACCACTATAATGTCTTAAAGCATAGAACTTAGTAGGGCTAACCATACAGATATCTTAGCCATAATTTTATATAATTAGTGTAAGAGATCCTCTATTTAACATATATAAATAATTGAGGATACAATATAAAATAAGGATTGTCTTGGAAGCAATAAAATTTTGTCTTTTTAGATATTTGTTATATAAAATATAAATACAGACATATAAAATCCATTATAGCAGAGTTTATAAGATTAAACAAAATGCTTGCAAATATCATTAATAGGTGAACATACCCTTCTGAACATGTCATCATGTCAGCCTCTCTGTCATTTTAAGATGGAGCAGTGTCTGTCTCCAAGTCTCTCCTTTAAAAATACACCTATTTATACCTTACGTGTCATCATTTTA